AAAATAAACAACTAACAAAAAAAATAGTTTTGTACAAGAACGTTTTTCCTTAGTTGACAATTAAACGGCTGTCTTTTTGGAGCTGTGACCTGTTGGTAATAAATCAAATTTGATATCATTGTGCAATAAGTCAACATTGTTATACGTTTTTAATATTTCAACTGTGCACAAATACCGTTTAGTTTATTTAGAATAACCAATTTTCGCATTTGGGCAAAAGTCTTAGACAGTGATGTCGTGAAGTAAAAGATACAAAGAACAGTGATATCAGTCAAAGGCTTTCGACACTCTATACTGGTTTAATTACCTATAACACCACTTTCTATCAGACAAGATAAATATAAATAATTGCAATTCAAAAAATGGCCTAGAAGCAACTAAGGACCAGTAACTGTCGTGGTAAAACAGGCAGAAAGGTTGATCACGAAGAAGGCAACTGAGAAATAATCTAGTTGACAGAGAAGACTGACTAAGTGGTAGACTGACTAAGTGGTATTTTGGAGTGAATACAGCTTGAAGTTCCTTGTTTTTGGTCAAGTCATGCTTCCTATAATTGTGATAGTTTGCTTATGGAACTGTTTGCAAGATATAATTGCTCTTGCGAGACATATTTTAAATCTATGCTTTTCAAAATCTTTTCTGTACTAAGTTGTTTAACATGTGTTTAGTGCACCATATCCGGTTTTAAACAACCCATTTATAAGAATGCTTCATTGAAATTAAACACTTATAAAATTATGTTTTTTAAATCTGTTTCACTAGAACATGATATAAAATAAAAAAGGTGATCTTTTTAAAGGACTACAAAAATACAGAGACTGAATGAGAATATATTCATTATGTCCCGAAAATGTGGCTTTGCTGTAGAACAAACGAACACTGAAAATTTCTAAAACGATAATTTTAACCATCAAACTTTGAATGTTCTCAGTCATATAAAAGGGAATTAATCAAGGTATTAAGCTAATAGATATTGCAACTTAATAGAAGAATCTACTTTTTAAAGTTCTCAAATTTTCTTGTAACTCAAACTAATCATGGTCTCAAACTTACATAAAAATCTAGCTTATTGTGTGCACGGAAAAGAACATATCAGCATCGATCCCCTTGTTATAGAAATTGTAACATGCACAAGAATTCGATTAGGTTCTTGTTAAATATAAAAACAAAACAGAGCGAAGATGCAGAAAAACTCACTTTTGAGCTAGTTGCTAAGTTGCTGATTGTTTCCAAACTGGTTTACAAAACAATTTAGTTGTAACTATGTTGCAAACAAGTCTAGACTTGATGACAGTAGTGATAATTCATGTACACGTATTGAGCTTTTGAAGGTAAAACGTGTTAATAAAACTAGTAAACGTGATAAGAATGTTAGTAATAACTTGTATTATTCAGTTACCAGGAAAAAGGGTACTGAGCTTGGCAATGCTATAGTCATTAATAATAGAATTGCGTCGGTGAGGAAATTACAAAATGTAAAATATAATAACGGTGAAAAGCTCGCCAAATTAACATAGTTTTATTGCGTTTCGGGCAACAGCCCTTTATTGGGATTCCATTGTTTTCGTGTTCACCAATAGAATTATTTTAATTTGGCGATCTTTTCACCATAATTATATTTTCTAAATGTTATAGTCAGTATCAAACCCTTTCATTCGTTGGCCTTACCATCCAAACAAATAGAGCGAATATGTGTATTTCTTAGAACAGTCAAAGGAACATCGATAGCAAGGAACATAGTTAACTACTTTCCTGTCCATTTTTGGGAAGTTGTATCGTATAAAAACGAATCTAAATGTGAAGGAGCACATTTGTGTAAATTATGTTTATTTTCCTTTGAACAAACTTCTTGTTAGCCAAATACAATAACCAAGTAAGTAATGTAATAGGCATTTGAAACACCACAAACCAAAAATTATCAAGTAAGTGTGTCATAAAAATTAACTAATGGAATATTTTGGGCACTATGTTGTTAAAAACTAATGTATATACAACTAAAATATGCTTGTAATATACAAACAAATAAAACACACTACTGTTACACTAATTTTCCAAGATGTTATGGCTTGCATGTATTTCAGTGTCAGCAAACAAAACGCGCGATTTTGAATGTCTAGTGGAGATTTATGGCTTTTGGTAGTTACATTAATTTCTGTTTGTTTATTTATGGATTTTGGTAGTTACAGTTACATTAATTTCTGTTTGTTTATTTATGGATTTTGGTAGTTACAGTTACATTAATTTCTGTTTGTTTATTTATGGATTTTGGTAGTTACAGTTACATTAATTTCTGTTTGTTTATTTATGGATTTTGGTAGTTACAGTTACATTAATTTCTGTTTGTTTATTTATGGATTTTGGTAGTTACAGTTACATTAATTTCTGTTTGTTTATTTATGGATTTTGGTAGTTACAGTTACATTAATTTCTGTTTGTTTATTTATGAATTTTGCCATGAATATATTAAGAATGAAGTATAAGTTAGTCTTTTAGGTCATTCATTTGTTCTGGTTTTCAATGAACGTTGAAATACGGTAACTTTACGGGCGCCCGCAGGAGGGGGGAAGAGGGGCACTTGCCCCTCTAGTAAATTAGAAGCATAATTCTTTCTTTATTCATTCAACATGTGTATATGAATTTTTTATTCAATTCACAGTTTCACATTAATCCCCCCCCCCCCGGAAAACTTTGCTCCTCCCTGGGAAACTTTCTGCGGACGCCCATGAGTAACTTAATTGTTATTTTCATATTTTGTCAATATTTTTATAATTATTTGTGGTGAAAATTACACTTTGAACAAATATTTATTTATTCTTTCATCTGTTATAATACTTCTATAATGAAATATTTAATACATATTGAAGAAGACAGACTAATGCTCTGTCGAAACATGTAGTATGTATTGAAATATTTCATAATGTTTACAGATCGTTGTGTCTTATGCATACAAGACTCCTAGTCTTAATGTGCTTCCTACACAAATATTTATATTACTATTTTTAAAAAAATGCAGAGAACTGAAAACAAAGATTACCATAAGAATGAGACATGGAAAAAGATACCATTTAATGTTGAGTATGAAACTGAATTAGTGTTAGCTAATTTACCGTTTGATCCCCAGTAGCAAATCTAAGGGCTCACGCCGCTAGAAACTGGGTTTCAATACCTTTAATGGGCACAGTACAGGAAGCCCATTGTGTAGCTGTGCGCTTAACAACAAACAAACCTTTTGATCGCAAGTAAATTGTAGTTTATGGACGATTGCTCATTTCCCTGTCTCTCTCAGTGATATTTTATTTTCATGAAATATACTATTGACTACTCAAGATCTGCTCAGAATGAGTACTCACCTCCATGTGTGTACAACCCAGTACACTTGAACAATTATCTAAGTTGGTAATGTAATCAGAAAATTACAACGCTAGAAACCGGGTTTCGACCCCTGGTGGACAGAGCACTTATAGCTCAATGTTTAGCTTTGTGCTTAAACTACAAACAAACAAAGTAATTTTTAAAAAAATCAGTTATCAAGGCAAAAGTTTGTTTGTTTGTTATTAAACACAAAGTTACAGAAAGGGTTATCTGCCCAACACGGATATTAAAACCCAAATTTTAGGTCTCAGACTTATCTCTGAGCAACTTGAGAGGGGCAGATCAAAACGTCAATATATTGTTCAGTCGCGTCTTTTTTTTACACCCTAATATTTGAAATTTAGCTTTTAAAGAACTGAAATTTAATCGTGATAACACTTTTGACATTCTGAATTAATCAATTATTCCACAATTATAATTATGTAAGAAAGATTACGATATTTAAGATATTTTCTTCTTTCTTTAAACAAATGTTATTTGTGGTATATTTACAAAGAAAATGTAGTGATATATATTTTTCTTTTTTGATTATTTGGCAAGATTATGTTTAATTGCTTACAATTGATTCATTATTAATGAAACGTTTTTTGTTTTTATTTGGCAGTGGAAAGTTTTCTCTTCTCAAAAACATCTGTTTCTAGTTGCCACGTGAAAGAACCAGTTCGTCTGAGTGAGTCTCAGATTGCAGTGATGTAAGTGCAGTATCATAAATATGATATATTTCTTAAATATTTAATTAAACTCGAATACAATATATCAGGAACATAAAATCATTGCTACACTATTAATTTGTAAAAAAAAGAAAAAAGAAACAGCATATCATTTTTCCCAAATAAAAATACATATAATTAATAAAAATAAAACATATATTAAATATTGAAAGATCAAAGCTAGTGGAATTCTGGCATGGGCCTGATGATTAGGGACGCTGACTCAAAACCTGCGGGTCGCAGATTCGAATCCCATCACCAAATATGCTTGCCCTTTCAGGCATGGGGACATTATAAGGTAATGGTCAATCGCACTACTCGATTAGATAAGTTCGAGAGTCTGTTGTTGACTTTCCTCTAATCTATTACCACTAAATGAGGGACAGCTAATTGCAGATAGCTCTCCGCAAAATTTAAAAAATAAACAAAATTATATTGGTCAATAACGAGTTCCATAAATGTGTTGAAATTTCAGTTAAATTTTCAAGCATTTTTAAATAAAATGTTAAGGCTAATATTCATTTACAACACTAAGTTATAGTAGTTTAATATTAAAATATTAACTGCTTTCTAACTTAATCCCCAGTACAAGAATTTGTATTAGTAGTGTATTAAACTATCAGCTGCTTTACACATTGAAATGTGTACTAAATAACGCTATAAAGCACAGTAATTTAAAAGTCACAAAATAAACGGTATAATCAATATGATTGTTGAACTGTTTATAATTGTAATATTTCAATTATTAAACGCTTTCATTAGTTGTTTTTTAATATCATGAGTAAAATGGGGGTTAATTGCACTTTATAAGGACGATGTTTCACATCCTGTGTTTTTTTCAGTACTACTTTTGCTATCGTCAATCATCCTCAGTCATGATTAGCCGATGCTATTTTAACAAGCTTCTGCAAAGGAGGCTTTAAAATCAGTTTGGTATATCCTTATTTAGTGCCGAGACAAAATAATTATTATGACTAAGAATGGTTCTCTCTCTTCCCTTTTGTCAATTTTTGAAAATACTGAGGATTAATCACAATCTATAAAAACAGTATTCCAGTATATATGAAATTGTGGTTCTGTGTCGTTTAATATTCTCGCTATACGAAAACACTTCTTCGAAATGGTATCAAAGGTGATATACTGCATTAGCAAATAGTCGAAAAGTCGCTATGAATCAAATATATAGGTGCCAAAATGCCGCCCATGCCATTATAGTTAGCATTTGTGGTGGCACATCACTGCATTAACATATACAAATGGTTCTTATCAACCCTCTGTGTAAATTTTTTTTGTTATGGTTAAAACACGGATAAGTGCAACTGATTAAGTTTCTCTTAACAACAACAATAATAAACAAAAATCTAACCGCAGAAACCAAATTTTACGTATTATTTAAGTTTTTTGTTTAAATAAAAAAGTCAGAATTACAGTAATCTTCTATTTTTTCAAACCTAATACAATTAATTTATATATAAAAACCAAAATCGAGATGTCTATTATCAGATTATAACTTAAAAAAAGAAAAAATTGTCCATTACTAGTCCTTATCGTTATTCATAACGAAAAATGTATGTGACCATATCACCCAAAACCTTTGAGGATATTCCATCTATCAGACGTGATCCAAACGCAAATGTCAAGCTAGGAAGCTGTTACGGAAGATAAAATTAGGGGGTTAGGAATTGAGTGTTTTATCTGACAACATCACAACTCCTACTGCCTTAATATTTTGACATAATAAATGACAGTTGTCAGAATAACCATATAGTACTAATAAATAAGTTCTTTTAACAACTGCCTTTTATGTAAAAACATAAAGGGATGACTGTCTTCCCACAACTGGCTGCAGACAGCGAAAGGCAGTAGGAGTTAAGACATTGTCATTAAAGCACTGAACTCCTAACCTCCAGTCTGAGCTTTTGTAACGGCTTCCTAGTGTGACATTTGCGTTTAGATCTCGTCTGATAGATGGAATATCCTCAGTGCTTTTGGGTGCTATGGTCAGAGACATTTTCCAGTAGGATTTACTAAATAATGGTAAGGACGGGTAATGGACACATTTTTCTTGTTATATAGCGCTGATTTGATCGTCTACGTACAATTAATGTAATTTATAGTATTGAGCTATTTACTTACTTATATACATTAAAACATAGGCGACTCAATAAACTTTATTTAGATAATAACAATACTAACCGTATATTATTCCATCACTAGATGCGTTTTAGCTATCTTTGGACTTCTAGTTGTCGTCGGAACAATCCTGGATTTAACCAAGATCTACGACATAGCTCCAAATGCAGTTAGATGGATCGACAACCATAGTAATTATATATATATTTTATTAGAGAAGAAATATATTCGCTATGCACCAGCTGTTAGAAAACGAAAGTTATGTGAGACCTAAGCAGTACTGTAAGAATAATTATCCTCCAGAAAAGAGCTATGAAATATTGTCTTGGTATTTTTTGTTTATAAATTATGTAATTTTAACCCTAAAATTTCCATTATTGTTTTATTTGAAAAGTCCGCTTGTTGTCTTTAAAACTAGGTATTAAGTTTAGGAGGCATCACATATATACTCCAATTCTAGCACGTGTCACTATGGTAAACACCCTTTAACACTATGACGAAAGCTGTGTCACCATGGCAAATAGACATTAACTTAAAGGATGTGCCATAATGGCAAACAAAATCACTTTACTCAATGTAGTTATAGCAAACACACAAACTTTATAATTCCATCATGGCTAACAGACACTAGCTATAGTACTCGTCAGTATATAAAGTGTCATTATAGCAAACAGACACTAGCTATAGTGCGCGTCAGTATATAAAGTGTCATTATAGCAAACAGACACTAGCTATAGTGCGAGTCATCATAATAAAGTGTCATCATAGCGAACAGACACTAATTGTAGTGTGAGTCATCATTTCAAACAGACACTAGCTATTATGAGCGTCACCATAATAATGTATCATCATAGCAAACAGACACTAGCTATAGTGTATATTGCCATGAAAAAAAAACAGCATAAAATACTAAATGTAGGCTGTGTTTGCTGGCAAACAAATATTAACTACAAAACATCTCATGACAGCAAACACATTTCTTTCCCTGGTTCAACAAGTTACATGTGATGCCTTGAAGGATCCATCTTATAATAATCTTATCTTAAAATAGTATATTACACTGCGTTTTTAAAGATAGGCAAAATAGTGTCCAAATATAAAATCAGAGAAAGCGTAAATTTCGAAATAAATTGTTTTTTGTTCATTACTTGTTCCTAAAATAAAAACTTGTTTTATTTCTTGTCCTTTAGAAAACGTTACTGATTGAAACGTTAAGATTTTTTAAAGAACATTTTTGCTAAGAAATGTGTAGTCCAGAAAATATAATCATTATTTATGTGAAGAAAAATATTTCAGAAGTTATCATGACATTTTTCTTTCTATCATTAGAACACTTAAGTTATCATGACATTTTTCTTTCTATCCTTAGAACACTTAAGTAAAAAAAAATTAAAAATTCCAGTTAATCAGCTCTGTTTCCAAATATAAAAAGCTGGCATAAGAAATTACAACATTTTTAATACCTGCCAAACGTGCTAGCCCAGTATCTTTTAATACTGAGCCTAGGATGGTTAACAGGAGGGTCATTCCGGAAATCGGTGATTCAAGGCTATTTCGATAGATCTCGACGAATGAAGCTTGGCACAACTTCTAAAACGAAACATTAATGAAAATATGACATGATGAAATATATATGGATTACACTATGATGGTACCGTACTGGCCATTATACCATCCTTCTTTTAATTTGTGAATAGCTAGGGAAATAATCTTGTAATGCATCTTGCATCTGCTTCAACTTCAACACTGCATCTTTGGTCTTTACTGTGCCGTAGTTTCACAAAATATTAAAACTAATGATTTTTTATATATAATTCCAATCCCCCCTTTTAAACATAATGATGTTGTTGTGTCCCGTTTTTTTTTTTATGTTTCACTGTCAATGCAGTAATCAATTGACGAACCTTCAATTCAGCTGTTATGTCAATTTGATTGGGATATCTTCGAATAAGTTTTTCCCTCATCCGACCTAGACCCATGGTTTAGCTTAATCACTACAGTTAAACCACCACATCCACAACCACACCTAGAACATTTCAAGCATATTATACTGATACGTCGTTTTACTATATATTTCCAAGTTAACTTCTCCATGTTGGCTCTCATGGTCTTGGGTCAGGTCACGGGTCGGGTCCAGCGACCTTGACCTCTAAAATAGTGCCAAATGTCTTCTTCCAAAACAATCCAAACAATTCCGGAAAGACATTTTTTTTGGGGGAGGGCACATCAAGATGCCGGGCTAGCTCGTGCGTAGGTATTAAAATGTTTTATTTTATATTCGTAATGAAAGAGGGTGAATTCTGACACATTCATATCAGTTATAGTTTATGTCTTTCTATCAGTTATATTCTATTATGCTCCTTACGCTTTTTCTTTCATGTAAAACACGATGTGTATAAAGTTAAAATCATAAATATTATGTGAAAATAGGTAATAATATTCGTGAATCGTTAGAAATAATAAAACATAAAAAAGATCATGTAGTATTAAATAGAGATGAAGGTATAGCGAATATTTCTGCAAGAATATCGATTGATCTCCTTTGAATGGTTTATATTTTACATAAATTCACGCTTAACATATAGGTCCCATGACCTACTAAAAAGTTATAAATACTTTGGCAATTGTCTTGTAATTCACTCCTGAGGATGACGTTGCAACATCGAAACGTGTAGAGTAGTCAACTTTTTGAAGGCCATAGATAG